AACCCGTCACTTGGGGAAGGAAGAGGAGGTGGCATGGGCTGGGCTTGCTGGGGCAGCAGGAGATTTATGGCCCTCCTAGCCAACTTTTGCCAGTTGCACCTGGCACTCTCATGTTGTGCTCCAGCTTATGCTAGAAATGTTGGATGTTGAGAGAAAGAGCACTGGGAGGTGACAAAAGAGGAGAATGGAGATTTGTTTGCTGGTCTGGGCACAGGGAGTGGGACTGTGGGGCTGGCATGTTGCTTTGGAACTCGCTGTAGTCAGCTCCGGCCAAGCTGAAAGCAGAACATGTCCCCTTCGATGTGATCCCTGGTCTGAGACCTGCTCCTGTGAGGGTTCTCCATGGGCTGTGAGCTCCTTCAGACCCCATTAATTGCTGCCCCGTGGGCTCCTCCATGACTGAATAGGGAGATCTACTCCATGTGGTGCCTGGGGGCTGCAGGGGATGGCCTGCTCCTCTCTGGGCCTCTCCTGTGCTTCAGGGAACTTCTGCTCTGTGCCTGGAGCACCTCCTGCTCTCCTTCTGCACTGACCTGGATGGCTGCAGGGCTGTCTTCTCACGTTTCTCACTCCTCTTTCCCAGCTGCTGTTGTACAGCAGTTTTCCTTTAATCTGCCCTCCCAGAGACACCAACAGTGTCACAGCTCCATGACCATAGCTCAGCTCTGGCAGCAGTGTGTCCTTTTGGAATAGCTGGAGCTGACTTCACTCTGGCATGGGGCAGTGCTGGGCTCTGCTTATAGAGGCCACCCATACAGCCCCCTGCTACCAAAACCGTGCCATGTAAGTGCAATAGAGTTGTGGCTATCATCCTTCTGGGTGAATATTCATGCATTAAACAACACAACATTGTGAAATTAATATACCATACAAGCAAAAAATAAATAAATAAATAAATAAAAAATCCACTAGAACAGTTAGATGAGTTCTTCATGCCAAAACAACAGCAGTAACAGTAGCAACAAGAAGAAAACACTAGGAAGCTGGGATATTTTACAGTTCTTCTGACTGTGTAGCATACGTGAATTGATCTCATGTTTTCCAGACCCTACAAGCCATTAGTCTCTTTCTTGTTTTACACTCTCGAGCTTCTCCAAAACTGGGAATATTTTAAAGGGACGAATTGTGATGCTTCTTTATCTATATCCAAGATATATAAATGTAGATCTTATACTAAAACCTAATCCAAAATGTAAAGTACAGCAGGTGACTCCCAAACATCTTTAGTTTTCCATACTTCATTTTTTTTTCTAGACTAATAAGCTAAGCTGTAATTATCTTCAACAAGCAAGACTCCCACTGAAAGTCTCAGCATTCTGTGCCTAAACTCAGTGTGCAAAATGATAGGTATTACCTTATTTTATTTTTTATTTTTTGCTTTTAATGGTGAACCATTGAGGGGAAATAATAGAAAGAGTTTCCCAGCATGCCCACATGGCACCTGTTTCTTTAAAAGTGGATCAACTACATGACTTATCTCCTAAGTCACTGCTGGATGCTTGATGGGATAATGTCAGACTCGCTGGCAGCTGGCAAGCCCTGCCCTGTGATTAGTGCCACATCTGTGTGACTCTGATATGTTTTATAGGACAAAAAGCAAAATAATAAGGAATAGATTAAGGGAAAAGAAGGCTCCAAGATCTCAGATAAACAGAAAACTCATTCTTCTTACACTCTCATCCAAACAGAATGTTTTATTTTTTCAAACCAAGTCTCTTAAAGAGCTTGTTAGCTTTTAAAAGTATGGCTGTAACAAATATTTTTTAATTTTTTTCTTGTTTTAATCTGCATCTGAATCTGTACATGCACTTGAATTTGCTTCTTGTTGAAACTAAACTTCTTGATCAATCCACCTTGAAACCTCCAGCAAAACTCAAGACCAAGGGTGGCTTTCCTAAATGTATTAATACTTGTTATCTTGTGGGAACCAATGGTGAGTGGTTTAGGAGAGGAGCTGGTGGAATATCACCTGCTATTGCTCAGATGGAGCTCATTACATGAGCTTCCTTCTGCTGCCCTCTCGCACCAGGCTTGTATATGAACCCTGCAGTGTGCTGGATGCTCCCACCCACCAGAACCAGCATAGTGGGGGTGTCCTGGCTGTTGGTCTCCAGCCTCAGCTGAAAGATATGAATGCCAGCTCTTTCTCTCCTAGGTTTGCTAATTCATCAACTCATTGCATAAAATCTTAGATAACAAGACATCCTTTCAGGAAAAAGAATTGAACCATTCTGAACTCTGTATTATTAGGCTAAAAACATAAATTTAGCACTGATGCTAGTACTTATTTCAAGAATTCCTCATGTGTTGTTAGAGTACTGGAACAGACATTGAAATATCTACAGTCATGGTTAAAACTTGGTACGTTTTAGGGGGTACAGTATTATCAAGTAGGAGGTTATCTGTTTCAGGAGTGCTGGATTTCAAACAGCCCTCTAGTTTATTTTGTTTTTTACAGTATACTTTTGAGATTGGAAACGGATCAAAAAACATGAATTTGTCTGCTCCTTGCAAGTTTCCCTTACACTGACAGGGACAGCAACATTTCAGCGATGGCTGTCAGACACACCGAGCTGTACAGCTTCTGTTTTGCTGTCTGTTTTCTACTTAGGTTCTGGTTCTTAGCTGCTGAGATGGACTATGTACCCTGTGAACACAGTTGGTCGCTTTTGCCCATTCCTGTTGTGCATATTATTTAGTGTGCTTTTAAGAATTTGGTGTCCAGGAAGAAAGCAACAGTGAATGTGATGGCATTTGAGTGATGATTAACATCACTCATTTGATTGTGGACGCTATCTCCCGGCATACCTCAGGAGTGGAAATAAACAACACTTAAATAGAGAAATATCAGCTCAGCTGTACGTTTGTGATGTAGAACTACCAAATTGCTTTATTCTTAATTGCCTTCTTGAATTCTGTGATGGATTGATGAGGCTGCCAGCTTGTGCAAGTTACTTTAGTGGCACTTCAGCAAACATATCTAGGCAGATTAAGCCTGTACAGATCTGTCCCTCTGTCGACAATTATATAATTGATTTATCCATTAACTCAAGCAGTTATAAAACATGAATAGCAGTAAGTGCATACTAAGCTCTACACTGGGAGAGAAACAATTTAACAGTTTGTCTTTTATGGCTATCTAGTGCTTATTTCTGTGATATTTCTCCTAATGAATCTTTTCTGTCTGCTTAATTCAGATTCTGAGATACTTAGTATATTTATGCTTTGGTTAGAAGGATCTTTTATTTCAGACAATTAATTTCCTAAAGGCAATTACCTGCTTCTTTATAGCATCTAAGAAAAAAGAGACAGCAGTTATATCTAATGTCAGTGATTTTGTTTGTAACTTTAAACTTTAGTATAAATATAGATGGAAGAGTTCTTTTTTTGTTTGTCTGGAAAAAGTTGTTCTACATAATTGAAAGTTCATAGAGGGCATTATGAAAAGGAAATCTGTGTGGGATGGAAGGAGAGAAAATTCTTGATGTTAAAATGTACATAGCTAAGATTAGCTTCCCAAGAAATACTGAAAAGTAACTGTGAAGTAGTCTTACTGACTCTTTGCTTTTACACATTTGCATTTCAGCGTCGGTTGCATACATATGAATTCTACCTACCTGTTAGATTCGTGAGCTAGGTCTGAAAGGAAACGTCTGTGGCAGGGGCTCTCTTGCAGTTGGCTGTTGATGAATTCAGGTGGCAAACGACCTGATGTGAAGGGCTGGGATTACAAGCAAATATGTTCTGCAGGTGTACTAGTTTTGAGAGATGCACCTTATGCCCATGACTGAGCTTCTGCATACACCAAATAGTTGGTTTGAGGGATGCGATTCTGCTAAAATTTGCCAAAACTCTAAAAGCTGTGTGTGTAAGGAGATTTATGTAGGGCATTTGTGTTCTTTGACACGTTCCAGCAGTGCCAATGTAAGTCATGACGGAAAATATGAACTTCAGTTACTGAGCAAGTTTCTGCCATAGTTTTCCCATTTAGAGCTGAATGGAAAAGGAAAGACTTTGAGCTGAATTGCTTCACGTAAGAACTGATCAGAGCTTCTAGGAA